TTTATTTCTCTGAGCTTGGTAGCCTTTTGAAATTCTTGATTAATTTATAACACAAAATGGTTTCTATTCCGAAGTAAATAGAATATAATTACCTATTGTAAAAATGTATTAATATGCAAGATGGAAAATCCAGTGGTTACATAATTTCATTAATCGATATGTAAATTATGGAGCAAGGTAAAATATCAGAAGTGCATTCATCGTTGTTGAGTTGCACACTGGAATAAACTTGCCAGCCGTGAGTGTAAACTCCTATTTTGGAAATTTGCCAGATGTGAGTGTAAACTCCTATTATGGAAATTTGCCAGCCGTGAGTGTAAACTCCTATTTTGGAAATTTGCCAGATGTGAGTGTAAACTCCTATTTTGGAAATTTGCCAGCTGTGAGTGTAAACTCTTTGTTGACTGTGGCGATGATAAAGACCAGACAGCGCTGGATCGGGACGGGAGTTCCTACCCAGTCGCACCCCCAGGCCGAGTCTCTCACACTTTCAGCCTGGAATATTTCATGAAGTCGTGTAAACTAATATTATTGTAAACACACAAACAGATCGTAGACAGAGCATGGGATGAATGTGCGTGATCGTCCCAACTCTGTACACAAAAGGAACATGACGACAAAGTACTAGCGACTATGAGACAGAAAAGGTATCAGAAATGTTTCTTCATATTACGTAAAACATTGAACACTTCAGTCATTCGTGATCTTACGAATAAAAGTTTACATTTCGTATGTATTGATTGAGATTATGGAATTTCAGATTAGCCTACAATATGAGTCAAGTCATATACTAGCACTGGAGTGTGGGGAAGGAGTTTATGGTACAATTTTGAAGCAAAAATGTGTTTAAGTCGATGTGAGTTCACTTTTATTAAGATACATTGAAACTCAGTTTAGACGCATATTCAGATTTGAAAATTTTTGTTACTGGATGTCTATGAAGTTTATTTAACATTAGAATGGTCGACGTTGTTCTGCGTAGTGACGCCTTGTTGACTTGTAGGTACAGACGTTTCGGAGGAACATACTGTTTTCATCTCCAGTGTTAAATGTATTTGAATCGTGGACAATTAGACACATTTATTGACTTATTTCACTTATGTTCCTGCCTTTTGTCCCAGATACACATGAGTAGGTCAGTATAATTCACAAGTGAAAGATGTTCCGTTTTTCTTACTTTCTTTCTCGCTACTTTATTACGAGTGTGTTTTTCTGTTGTTTTCTTTTTCTTTTGAGTTAAGATAATATTAAAAAAATTAAATTAATATAATCGGCGCTTGAAATTCCGTACGGGAGCATACGAAGCAAAGACTTTATTGTGTAGATTTATTATTTCATCATAGGTACTTGATCTGTTAAAGTCGTGTAGTTATACAGAGTAATACGTAGTCTAAAGCAAAATGTATATGCATATTGCCTTTACAGCGAACATTATTTAAAGTATTTTAATTTATAAGTGGGCTATTCGCAATGTTTATACTTAACAGGTTCTGCATTTAAAATAGCGTCTTGATTGTGCATGTCGGAGACCTGAATAAGTGGTTACAAAAGTTTTTTTAATGTTTAACTTTGACTACATCCACGTGCATTTAACATAATGCAAACAAACTTATGAGCATAATTGATGTGTTATTTTTTTTGTAATTAGCGTGTTGATAAACTAATATGAGTATTCATACTACACTTTAGTGCGTGGATGTGTTATACAGAACTTAAAAAAATGTCAGAGAATGGTTATTTATGAAAATATGTCATTACTCACATGTACTTTTGGACACGTTGTATTTTAAATTATAAGAATTGAGATATTGCTCGTTATTATTCATCGTAGTTGATGAATTTAAAAGCATCAAAATATCGGACATCTTCTTTATAAAATTTAGCTGTAATCCTCTGCTGCTAGTTTTCCTCCTTTCCTTCGTGCTTGCTTTTCATATGCAGAAGAAACATGAAGAAAGACATTGTCTGATTAATCATCTGTGAACACACACAATACAGCACATAACCAAAATATAGGTAAATGAACGTCGTTGATTTCCCTCACATAGCAAAGACAAAGGAATATCCATTGTCTAAAGTCGGATTAAAATGTCTTGTTGCCCACCTCTAAACCAGTGATGAAACTGTATTGTTAATGGTCGTTACATTGACATTGAATCGTACTTTGAAATATACTTTTGCTTGAACATTAAAAAAGTATTGATTTGTTGATATAGGCCATTGTTCTTACTTGTATTTGATACGTTCTTCTTTAAACTTGAAATAACGTTCACATATTGATTATTATTAACAGCCAGTAAGAAGAAATGGATGATTAGCAAGAGTATTTCAGGCATTCAGTTTTAATAACTCCTCATTTGAATTAAAATTAAATAACTAATTATCATAAGTTTTAGGTAACATCGTAATAAATAGTGTTGTTAAACACTTATATAGTTTTCTTTTCAACAATTTGTAAGTACTTCCAAATAATTAAAACTATGATACATTAATCTGGCACTGTGAAGTAATCCCTGTCTGTACCAAAGTATTCAGTTTAGGGAGAATCTTCTTACATTCATCATGGTCTTGTTGGAGACTGGAACAAACTTGCCAGCTGTGAGTGTAAACTCCTTGTTGGCCGCGGCGATGATGAAGATCAGACAGCGTTGGAACGGGACAGGAGTCCCCACCCAGTCGCACCCCCAGGCCGCGTCTCTAACACTTTCAGCCTGGAATAAACACTAGCTGTTTCATACACATGTATGTGAATATGTGATAACACTTCGTATGTTACAACACTGAATGAAAACGTGTGTCGTTCACCTGTTCCGACAGTTGACTTCCAAGCCAGCAAAACACGAATACATTGCAAAGAAGAATGACGTACATGACCAAGGCCTGTGAGACGTCCGTGAAGTCTCCCCAGCTCTGCACAGAATAAGTAACGCATTAACTCATTGCGTGTGCAGTCGTGACGCCAAGGACGAGCTGTGTCGTATTTCGTTGATAAATTAAAGTAACCAGTTTGAACATAGGCACATAGTTTGTTATTGTAAAATGGTTCTGTATATTCTGTAGCGTTGGCAACGAAATATTTAAATCGAACTTAAGAAGCTGGGACATTAACGTTAATAGCTGCATTACATAAAGTAAGGGGATAGATACTTCACCGTGACGGCTGAGAAGGCGATGATACACAGTGCAGCTAACAAAATCAGGAAAAGACCGCAGAACATGAAGTTCATCGTGTCTTCTAGTGCTGTCATGTACCTGCACATCCGAATACACAATATACACTTAATTTCATAATAATTTTCTGACACACATTAACGTCCATCTGATTTTCTTTTGTGTAATCGCACCGTTTTATCTGTTGGTGGTGCCGAATGCAGTAGTTCAGTTGTTTCTGCATGTGATGGAACACTTCCTCAGAGGTTCGAACCTGTCCCTGCGTCTCCTCTTGGTCGGTCTCAGCCCCACGGTCCTGTTCTGATGTGACACGTGTCTGTCTCATATCCAGTATGGTCGCTCTGAGTTTCTCCAGCTGACTGCAGGCCACACATATGAACGTAGCGTACAGTCCTGGGAAGCCCGTACTTAAACTTATGATGAGAAGAGATGCGAGACCCTATAAACACAACATTAACCCTTTGAAACCAAACCTCATCTAAATAATATTTAAGAATTCAGTCCGTACCGCGAAGAAAACACCACTCTTCACCATTACGAAGATCAACTGGTTAACGCTGTTCAAGGAAATAATCGCTGTTTACAGTGAGAATCATACGAAAACACATAAATACAAATTAATAGTTTGTGGCTGTTGAATCAGGGTGGTATATTTAGTTGTCAGTCGGTATATAAGGGTTAATTTCTCATCGAATATAAATACACTGCACTACAGTACCTGCTTTAAATTGGCTATCTCATAGATTGGGCTGATCGAAGCATCGAAAGGATACCACGTCGTGAAGACCATTGAGTGACTGGTTAGCATTCGTAGGGCTGACTGGGTCCCATGAAATACAATCGTTAATGCCCATGCGAATTTCGTTAAACGGCCAACCCGAAACATAAATTCGTTCATTGTTACATTTTCGGAATCAGGATCTCTGGTAGGCAGTATTTCCCAATTGAAGGATTCTGCAAGGTGAATCAAGTAGTCGATATCACGTCGAATGTATCTGAAACAAACAATCATGAATTTCCTTGAGGTTTTGTAAATGTTTAGGCATCATGCATTACTCTTAAGTCGTTTAAGTGAAGAAAATATTTCGACACATTAAAATACATTTTTATCTGTTATGACGAAAAATTGCGACGTGTTAATTATTTCATGTCAAAGGAATTACTTCACTTTTTTATTGAGTTGTAAAATACGAACATTAATTTATTCTATAGGATTTGAGACTTTCAATAAAATCTTCTCTGGCAACCAGCCGTCAGGGTTCTGATGTGACTGGATTCTCGGCGACTTCCGGGGATCCAGTCACATCAGAACCCTGAAGATGGGGACAGAGTTTGTTCCCGAAACGTCGGTTTACTACCGTAACCAGCTAACGCGGCTAGTTGCCCGAGAAGATTTTATTGATTAATTTATCTTATTTTACTGTTTATAATAAAGTAAATACATTTTTGAAGCAGCAAAGTGAATTGATTCTAATTTTTAAATTATTGGCGACTAAGCATGCTAGAAGTTCAGTACAGTATTTGTAATTTGGATACCTTAGGTACAGATGCATCCATGCAACTACAGCCATTCCAAAAATCATCCGGACGTTCTTCATGGTCTCCTGAATGTCTTCTCTTTTATTTACGAAGTCCATTATAACGGACAAGTACGTACCGTAATAACACACCGCCAGTATTCCGTTGTATATGCAATTAAGTTTTGGTACTTTATGCATGTTAACTGGGATTCCGCCCAATCTAACTAAAAATACGGGAACCACAAAGAGCTTGTCAGTCATACCGACGGTTTTGATGTTAACCATTGTGCGCTTCCTGGTTAAGGAGAGCAAACTGGTACGGTATGAACTCTGTTTGGCCTTTATCTACGATCTGTATAAGCACAGGCCTTTGCACGGAAGAATTTGCTGTGGCAAATGGTTCAGAATGGTACTGTCTGTACCAGATGCAGTGACTTTTATACATCTGTGCCATGTAGCAGGTAAATCGTGTATGCAGTGCAATATTTATTGAACACGCAGTTCCTACTTTCTGAGTGTCTTCATTAGCACATGCGTGATCAAAGCGGGCGGTCACTTTCGTTATAGATTAAATTTTATGTGTCATGGAAGCTCGGACGAAATAATTTGTCTTTCGTATCGGAATGTCTAATAATTAATTTATAGAACAAAGAACTTTGGTGTAGAAATGAAGTGGGAGATCGTTACTTGATAAATACATATTTGCATTTCTGTTCAGAGATAACAGGTAATGATTTGGTTTATTTAAATAGTGGTCGGTACTGTTCAGCCATTAAACACAAATTCCCTAGGACTTGGCGTTTCTTAATCACTGTCTTTTGTATGCAAGGCTATGATATGTATTTTTATTTGAGAGTAATGCGTGCTTTTGAACACGCATTCGTAATTATGTTACATGATGTTCGGATCGTCTGATGCATTAAAACCTTGCAGACCGAATTAAAAGCATCGTAGCACTAAATTCTGCCTTTTGTTAGTGGCTAATCGAATTATGATTCTTACCGTTTAGTTCAGTAATTATAACCTAGTATTTGACGCTAAGAATATTAGTATCAGTACGCCTACGATTAGTATGACCAATCAGTGCCTTAATCTGTATTGTTTTTTACACGAAGTCGTGGACGTATGCGATAAAATAATTTTAAAAAGGGGAAAAAGTGGTTTATTGACGATTAAGGAATACAGGGACTGTCCTTCATGCGGGATTGTTCCCACATCTTTAAATGACCCAATGTTATTCACATGTTCACGCAGAAGTTGTCATAACAACGGTCATGATCTATTTAATTATGATTTTCTCCGTCATCACATCTTTCGAACTGCGCCGGTGGTAAATTTCTTAGTTGACGTCAAGATTTGAAGCAATTCTCCGCTCCGTTTTGTCGTGTCCTGCCCCAAGTTGGTCTTCTGCGCATTTCATGTTGATTCACATTCAGTTTTGAAGTTGTGTTCTACAGAAGAGCTATTAAATCTTGAATCACAGCAAACTGCCGTAGAAACTTCCATACTCCGTTTTATGCGTGACTTTGGTAGGAAAGTTCTTATAACAGACATTTATGTTATTGATCTTTATATCGTCAATATAACAGAGGAAGACCTTTTTTTGCGGCAGTGTTACTATAAGTTCATGGAAACATTTAATTCATATTATTTTATTTACGTCTGTTCTACGATTTCAGTTCCCCCCTGCAATGCACATTTTTTCTTAGACACGTTTAATATTTTCTTTGTTGTGTAAAAGAGTTCGCTTCCAACTAAAGGAAACTTGCAAAATAGCTTTCTTGAATGTAGACAGAATTCTGTTACGAATCATAAAACGCAAATTTTTTTAAAAAAAAAATTAAAATAGATCTCGGTGTAAAAAGCGTTTGTAGACATAGTCTGTTGTTACTCTAAGAGAGTCGTTGCTACCACGTGCTACAGTTCCTGTAATATTTTTCTTAGTGTGAAATATAAATAACTGTACACAAATATTTTATGTATCCATTATTCCTTGTGGTTACTTGTGTGCATGTAGGAAAATAGAGTAAAATATGTCGTAGTTTATATGCTATCCAGTGCTTTTAATTAACTTTAATACAGATTATGTTTGTGAAACTAACGCTGCACAAGACGTAACTTCATCCAGTAGCTTTATTCTTTCTGGGAATGCTTCTGTTTAAGAACGAACTCGAATTGTAATTTATACTACCATTAGTTCTTGGCTTTCCAAATAACTTCAGCCTCTGCGACTAATTTTATGAATGCGAAATTTGTATTTCTGTATGCAAGGACTTACGACCCAGTTAATTTTATTGTGTGCGTCAGAGTATGAAGCCCCGGTTGATAAATCTAAAAGCAGCAACGCATAGGAACGTGAGAGCTTACGTTAATAAAGTGGAAAGCCTTAACTACGTTTATGTTTCCACAGTAAATTATTCTCCTTGTTTTGGTTCTTCGTTTTTCTTCTTCATGTGCAGTAGGAACATGAAAAAAGACACTGTCTGGTTTATCATCTGTGAACACACGAATAAATATGTCAGTAACCTTCGGAAACACGTGTTTTTTTCTTAATCGACATGTAGAACCGAATTTACAGTGATTTATGTTCAGTGAGCCCTCAGATTTAATTCCACCTGATATAAAGTTGACAGACAGATGGACAAAATATTTGCATTGTTATTCTTATCGTTTCTGACGCCGTGTGTACACTCGTCGGTATATGCGTCGGGCATCTACCGACGAGTGTACACGGCGTCATTCTCACCGCTGTGAGAAACCTAGTATCTCACAAAATCGTGGAAATTTTGCGTGTTTGGGCATTATTATATTGTGTAAACACGAAAAATTACCTTTCACACGTTAATACCTAAGACGAATCAAACATTGGCGAAGATATCAGTGTTAGACGCAATCATCATTTGTAACATGTCTGCAAAAGGTTCATTGACAACATGAAGGCGTTGTCACGTTGCAAATAGTTCTGAACGCACAAGTACAATACGAGATTCTTCTTACATTCATCATGGTCTTGTTGGAGACTGGAACAAACTTGCCAGCCGTGAGTGTAAACTCCTTGTTGGCCGCGGCGATGATGAAGATCAGACAGCGCTGGAACGGGACAGGAGTTCCTACCCAGTCGCACCCCCAGGCCGCGTCTCTGACGTTTTCAGCCTGGAATAAACCGAAGTAATACAAAACATGCCTTACACATTAGGAACTGTTATCGAAATTTAAAATTGTGTTATCTACCTGCACCGACAGTTGAGTTCCGAGCCAGCAAAATACGAACACAATACTCATCATGACGCAGTACATTACCAGGGCTTGCGAGACGTCCGTGAGATCTCCCCAGCTCTACAAAAGTGAAATGATAATTTCGTACAAAATTACGGCCACTGTAGTTTCAGCCGTCATTTAACAGCAACGTTTTATTCTGTGGATGCAAAATGAAGAGATAATGTAAATATATTTTAATCATATTTTTACACGCGTTTATTACTTATATTAGTGTTAAAAATGTTGGAAATTATGCTTCATCATAACGAGAACTATATAATTCTGTTCGAGTGTCTGTGGAATTTACAGTATGACCACATGACTTTTGAAAAAATGATCCCAACTGAAATTGAATTTTTCAATATATAACAGTTTTCTTTCACGTTTCTTCCAATTTATTAGGCTTATTAAATAATAATTCGACACTATATTTTCTAATCTGTTGATATTGTAAAATTTACCGTAACGATTTCATAAATTAGCATTGTATCGTTCGTAATTTTTTCTTATTGTATGCATCAAACTTGAGATATTTGGGTATGAATTTCAGTCGTTTTTGTTACGCGTCGTAAGAGGGTACTTCACCGTGACGGCAGAGAAGGCGATGAAGCACAGAGCGGCTAACAAGAGCAGGAAAAGACCGCACAACGCGAAGTTAATTGTCTCCTCCAGCGCTGTCATGTACCTGCACATCCGAACACACAATAGATATATTACCAGATAGGAATATTATGATACTTAATAACATCCATTTCATTTTCTGATTGTAAACGCACAGTATTATCCGCTGATGGTGCCGTATGCAGTCGTTGAGTTTTTTTTGTTCGTGTCGAAACACTTCCTCAGTGGTGTGGGGATGTTCCTCTCCATTGGTCTCTGCCCCACAGTCCTGTTGTGAGGTGAGATGTGTCTGCCTGATGTCCAGTAGGGCCCCTTTGAGTTTCTCCAGCTGACTGCACGCCACACACACTAACGTAGCGTACAGACCCGGGAAGCCAACACATATGCTTATAGCCAAAATAGATGCAAAGACCTATAAAATCAACATTATATTTGGATTTAAAATTAATGTAATGCCTGGAACAAGTATTAATTTGAATTTACGTGCAAGATATATCACTGATTTCCTCGGCGTTACCAAATATTGTTCCAAGCAAAATATTTGTACACTCAAATATTTAAGCACACACAATGCCACACTAATGTACTTTATTTACAATTGCTCTGCAGTTATTTTCAAGTTTTTAAGTTTTACCTTTGTGGTAACACGAGTGTCTATTGAAGGTTAGTTGCCAAATGAAAATCTACTTATTTTTTTCTGATGGTGAAGTCATTACATGTTCTTACGTGTAGTTATTTAAAATACGCGGTGCATTATTCTATTTTGTTGTTTCAGAGGGTTGGATCCATTCGAGACTTTTAATATTTATGGATATAAGTGCACTGCATGTACAGTACAACGCACTGCGATACGTCTTCGTCATCACACTGAAAATAATTTTCGTTTTCGTTATATTGCCATTTTAAATTGTAGACCAAAATCTCGCAGAGATTATTATGATTTATGCAACTGTTTCAGAGCAAGTTATTAGCAACGTGTTTGTGCCAAGTTTTTCCCTATGGTCCTGCATAATTCTAAAGATTTTCTTCCTTTGAAACTCTCCCATCAACGGTTATATATTTTAATCGCGTTTGTATAATTATTTTATTAAATAACTGCTCTATTTAAACTGCAAGAAATTGTTATTTAGCTCTTGCAATTTTTATCAACTAGACTGTACAAGTAGTGTAATATTTAATCAAGCTACACACATATATTCATAGCTACAAGAAGCAATCTGAGCTGTAAATGAATCAGGGAAAAATTTGAAGGATTCGTGTATTGATCTGTATAAATTGACTTAACAGTTTTCTTCTCAAAGTTATGGACACTTGTTTAACTTTTGTTTATTATGCATGAGAGAGTAGAAACGAACAGGGCATAACATTCTGATTTATTAATGAAAAAGTAAAGTTTGGGTCCGCGCAACATCGCTTTCTTCAAAACTCTTGTAATAGACATGTGGAATCATTTCAGTGTTTATGAATCTGTGTGTCGAAGTATGGAAGTTTTTTGCTTCTGCAATCCCTTTTTAGAACTTCAGAAGTTTGACTGCTCTTTATTAAACGTGGTACGAACTTCATGTCGGTCAATGCTGCTTAATCTTTATAAATTAAATTTGTTGCTCATGATAATACAAACATGACATCTGTACAAATTTTATTGATGGACGCAGTTCAGGTATTTTTAATAATAATATAATTTTGTGTGATTATTGAAGCAGTTCAGGCATTTCTAATAATAATATAATTTTGTGTGATTATACGGAATATCTTCAAGGAATGTATAATTATTGTCAGTGTGGTATTTAATATGAGATTTCAAATGCCAGACGTGTTTGTGTGCCCTACAATTTAGCGGCATGCCGTCACGCAAAACTTTAAGCTCGTGTATAAATATTTTTGATAATAGAAGTGAAATAAATGAAGCACCTAGACATTTCTTCTTGTAATAAGATGAATATCCAATTGTATAATACGCGATACCTGAAATATTATTTTTTCCCATTTGAAGTTAAGAATACAATTAAATACTGATTTCTTAGTTGTAATGCTGTGTGGATTTTAATTTGTTCTTTTGCGTATTATGTCAAATGAAATATCTGTGCTGGATAAATAATTTCGTTCATTATAAATGAGACATACGTATTTAATTTCTCACAGTTTATCAATTTATCCGTATGAGATTGGTAATCTCATATTTTGCACGTGTTAGGCGGAGACATTCTCATACTTTTCACATCTAATACGAAGAAAAGGTCATACATTACACGTGTGGTTGACATGTGGAACTAATACACTGTGCTTATGATAAGTTGATTATCTGATGCGCTACGCATGTAAGAAGTTGATAATATCGTAAACTGTACCTGGGACAAGTTGACAATCTCATACACTGGGCTGACTGAAGCGTCGAATGGATACCAGGTAGTGAAGATCATGGAGCGGTTTAACGTCATGCGTAGGGCTGACTGGATCGCATGGAAAACAGCCACGAACAGCCATCCGTATTTCGTAAGCTTGTTAACCCGAGGGATATACCCTGTCATTGTTAAATTTCCTGTGTCAGGATCTCTGTTTGGGAAATCCTCAGGCTTGAAGGACTCCGTGAGGTGAATCAAGTACTCGATCTCATGTTTATTGGATCTAAAACAAACAAGAGGTGTGTAAACAACGTGCATATCAGTGCGAATCCCCGTGTTTTCTCGTGTCGTGGAGAATATTAATGGCTTATTTGTTTTAATGCGAGAGTTATTTTTATATATGTCATTGTAAAACAAATAATTCATTTGAATAAAAATTTTCTTGGATATTATCCACAAATAATGTTCAATTTACGAAATAGAATATGTATAAGTCCTGTAGGAAAAGCTGATGATATAAGTCCTGTAGGATTGTCTTCATCTTTTAGGCTGAAATCACAATAACCAATAAGATTTTTAAGTTTATGTTAGCACATCTTCAAATATGTCATATACTGGAGTACACATACTGTCTTCTGGGTCGTTGTACCGTGTAGTCTTGTAGAAGTTTACCTACGTTTTGGAGGTGCTTGCTGCCTACATCTGCAGGGAGATAAGTGACTATGGAGGCAGCAAGCACCTCTGAAACGTCCGTAACTTCTATCAGGCTACACGGCCACGTCCGAGAAGACATTCATGTTCGTACTGGCCGCCGTGGGAACCTGAAATTTTACTACGTACTGAAAGTTATGCTACCTGAGATAGAAATGCATCCATGACAGAACAGCCATTCCAAATGACATTCTGACGTTCTTCATCGTCTCCTCAATGTCGTCTCTCTTGACCACAAAATCCATTATGACGGATAAATAAGTGACGTAGAAACACACCGTCGAAATTACGTTGTACGCGGAACTAAGTCTGGAAACTTTTCGCACGTTGACCGAAATTCCGCTGAGTCTAACGAGAAACAAAGGAACTCGGAAATACGTGTCAACCATGCCCGGTCCTTTGCTGTCGACTGTATTTGGCACCCGATTAAGAAGTTCAGACCAAACTGTAATTTTTATTTAAAATCTGATTTTATAAGCACGAACTTCCCGCAGTAGAATCTTTAACAAAAATGTGGTGCAAAATGGGACTCTCGGTTTCAGGATCACGAATTTTTATACATCTGTGCCACACAGGCACTGAGTCGTGTATGCTGTGCAATATTTATTGAACACGCAGCTCCTCCTTTCCGAGGGTCTTCTTCAGCACATGCGTGATCAAAGCGGGCGGTCGCTCCTGGTATAGATTAAATTTTATGTATCAGCTAAGACTATCATCGAAATAATTTGTCTTTCGTATTTGAATATCCAGTTTATTCGGCTATGAACTTGGCTATTGTAGTTAATTAGTTTTTTTGCAGTTCTATTCAGAAAATCTCAGGTAATATAAATCGTTACTTTAAGAAAATATCAATTTATGTAACCTCATTGTATTACCGTTTTTATTCCTTAATAACTTTTATTTTACAATCAAGACGTGACTGCAGATAAGGACCTACAGATATGCCTTGTTTTGGGAAGGAATAATCCCTGCTTAAAGCTTGTTATGAGCGGCCACGTGACGGAGGGACGTATTTTGAGTGTTGTAAACTTCTATATAATTAGAATGTAGGCTGCGCCTACTCTTAATGGTAGGCTAGTATCCTGTAGGCCATGTCGTGTTTTATGCAAAGGCCAAATAACTGAAAAATATATAAGTAAGAATCTAATTAGGATAACCCTTTTTAATAAAATGAAACTTGGATATGAAAATACTGTAATTTCCTGTATAGTCGTATAAAAGTATCTGAAAGGATTCAAAAGATAAGGAAAAATGTGTCCATAATTAACTAAAGCAAGCCAAAGTCTGAATTATCCGACAAAATTGAGTGTAAATCAATCATACCGTTGTCCCTGGTGATTTTCTGTTCTTTGACGCTATGTGGACTTGTGGTTGGGTACCAGCGTTTCGTCAGAATATACTGCCTCCATTTTCAAGGCTGAAGCTGTCTAAAAGTCAATATGGCTTTATAAATCAGGAAACAACTTCTGTCATCTTAACCGCTGTGAGGAGCTCAAATCAGTAGGAACCGAATTTGAGAGAAACCGGACAAGTAGTTTCAGTACTGTTCCATGCGCACAGACAAATGGACATGACGAATGTTGACCGTGAGGGCAGGCTAGGTTGAGTTGGGTTGGGTTAGGTTAGGTTCGGTTCGGTTAAAATGTGTTGGGTTGAATTTGGTTGGAGTGTTGTTAAGTTGCTTTGGGTTAAGTTTCGTTGGATTAGGTTGAGGTTCGTTTAGGTTAAGTTGAGTTACGTTAGGTTAGGTTGAATTAGGTTGAGGTTCGTTTAGGTTAAGTTGAGTTCGTTAGGTTAGGTTGAATTGGTTCGTTTAGGTTAAGTTGAGTTACGTTAGGTTAGGTTGAATTAGGTTGAGGTTCGTTTAGGTTAAGTTGAGTTACGTTAGGTTAGGTTGAATTAGGTTGAGGTTCGTTTAGGTTAGATTTAGTTTGATTTTGCTTCGATATTATCTTAAAGATTATTCACTTCTCTGCACTTGGCGTTGGTTTGCTACAGATATGATTCTGGAGACTTATGTCTACTCTCCGCGTCCTGATTTTCGTCGTGTGTTTGCCAGAATGTTGTGCGCTTTATAGGGCGTTGATTTTGCAGGTTCGTGTTCAGAGGCATCCCCCAAGATCAACACTGATGAGTGTGACGTGTTTATGCAGTGTCGTTAAAGTCCTTTCAAATGACATCTAAATATTCGGCTGTTTTAATTGTGGCGTCGCGACGCTTATGGTTTCTTAACGTGTCCGATGGCATGCCGAGGTTCTTTTCTGCCGAACTAAGAATGTTCACTTACGATCTCCATGGAGCCGAGTCCTTCCTAAAAAGCCAACAGTCGGTCAGTCACTCAAGAAGTTCCCAACATTTTATTGAACCCGAAGGTTCATTACCGCGTTCACAAGAGCCCGCCACGAGTCCCTATCCAGAGCCAGATGAATCCAGTCCATACCACCCCATCCTATTTATCTCAGATCTATTATAATATAATCCTCACATCTAAGTCTCCGTCTTCCTAGTGGTCTCTTTCCTTCTGGTTTGCCCACCAAAATCCTGTATGCATTTCTTTTATCTTCCATGCGGTATACATGCCTTTCCCATATCATCCTCCTTCACTTGTTTAGTCTACGTTTTTAGACGGCGGACGAGGAGACAGAAGATTCTGAACTGACCGGTAGAAAGCGTCACCCGAATTCAGTCCGCCCTTCGTTGCCTCATGAATCAAATTTTGATTCGTTACTGTCGCTCCCAAATATCCGAACTTTGGCGCAGTTTCAAAGGATCCTTTAGCGATCTTCGCCTGCTTTCTGGTGACGAGACATCAACATATCACTTACTTTTCTCTGTGTTTACTTCTGGAACAACTTTCTTACTAGCCTCTGCGTCTTTGTTCATGGCATTTATGTCATCCTCCCAACAGAATAGATCATCAGAATAGACCACAAGCTCATGTGTCCCATTCAGTTTCAGTCCTACGTGTTTTTCTTAGGCCTTCCTAATGGCGCATTCTAAAGCAAATTTGATAAACATCTCTTGTTTCAGAGTCATCAGCTGTTTGAAATAAATCCTATGTAGCCTCGTGCAAAAGTGTAACACAAACCTTTGCCTGTTTGTTGTCCTCCCATCGCACAGCACTGCTTCATGAAGCGAATGGACACGCCGTGAGCACACACGAGTAAGTGGCCTTCTATCGCGACTCATTGCTAATACGACTGACTCTCAAATTGGCTTGATAAATATGCAGTGTTCCGTGACGAACACGACCTGTACTCAGCCTCCAGTCCGTTCGTGTTTAGACAAAGACAATTTCGAATGCGGATTTTTAATTGGAACATATTAGTGAGAAGGAGACAGGAAAAATGAATATCGTATTACTCTTAAAATTCTTCGAAACGTTCTCGTCATAATTATCGTTCGTTGTGGGTCATTAATATCTTAACGCTTCTTGTAATTGGAGTAGCGTTAATAAAAAATCAGTGTGCTCTGCCCGGAGACGGTGCGAAGTCACATTGATCACGCCGTCTGCTGAAATCAGTTCGTGAGGAGGAAATCGGCCGACCGGAGTGGGGTCTGATCGTGTCGTGTCGGCGGACGAACGGATCTCCCTTCTGTTAACTGACCGTGTCTTCTGGTTGTCTCTCGTCAGAGTTTAGTTGCTAAAAACTTCTGAAAGAATTTATGCAGTTCCGGGGTTTCGGAAATTTGAATGTTAACGTCACTTATTTATGCGATGTGACCAAATTTAAGAAATCTGTGTTTATGCGCCATTCTATAGGCCTACATCAAAAGAAGCCGATATGCACTTGAAATAATGATCGCTTGTGTTTTTTTTAAGAAGTGTATGAAATGAACGGACGTATGTGAATTTCGTTTTCGTCTGACTCAGCATATTTATTTTTGGTGGATTCTCATTAAATTTGGTATTGGGGGATGACGTCTGTCCACACTTTCGAAGAGTGAATTCTTTTCTGTATCAGCCCAATCGTAATCCATATGATAACATTTAAATTACATGAAATTTAGTTCCAGTGTTATCGATGTTCTTAAAATCGAGTACTCGTAAAGATTTATATTTGCTATAAAATCGGCCTACGTGTTTATAAAAATATAGTTTCGTATTTTATAATTATTTATTGTGTGAGTGTTTACCACCAGCCAAGCTCTCTCTGTTTTACTCAGGCAGTTGACGATAAAACCGCGAAAATCAGTGTTCACGTGCATGTTAAGTCTCGCTTTGTAAGCTTTGGGTTCAGAGCCCGGTCACAATTTTCTGGTACAGAGAAAATCCTCCGAAGTAGATAGATCACAGCAGCTTACTTAAGATGTTCAGTGTTCGATTCCAGGGCAGTAAAAACGGGTTATCCTAACTGGTCGTTTTCGTGGTCATCTTTACGCCCTCCACGCAGATGCTGGGGGTAATGGGCACTTTGAATAGGCCACGACCTATTTAAACATTGAGAATAGCGTAGGATTTAAAGTTTTTACGACTGTGAGTCTGAAGATGGCTCTCTTCTGGGTTGTTGCACCGTGTAGTCTGGTAGAAGTTGACTGGCGTTTCAGAGGTACCTTTCCTGATTGTATTGCCCTGATTATGAAGGCAGCAAGTACCTCTGAAATGTCGGTAAACTTGACTACGCGGTCCAAAACCCCAAAATAACAGGCCTCTTCAAGGTATTTTGCTTTGCATCTAATTCACCAGAATATGCCTAGACGTGCACTTAATTAGGGAGGAAAAATTAGTGGTTCTGACGGCGCAACAACCCAGAAGACAGCCATCGTCATTGAGAATATTCTACGCATTCGGTGTACAAAATTCAATAGGTCCTAGGCTATACAGAATAGAAAGATTAATTTGAGAAACTGAGATAGTCGTATCATTAGGGATGCATTTTAATAAGAAAATCAATACTTCCATTTCCTTGTGATTTTCTGTAATTTTCAGTTGTAAACACTGTTTTTTTTAAACTTCGTACCAACACAGAATTGATCATCTGATTGAGGTAAGTCGGAAGTGAACTTGGTTTTTAGGAGTGCGTAAACATGAAGCAGTCGTTGGTTTGAAGTTGTTTCAAATCAGTTCTGTGGAATCGATATCAAATTATTGGTTAGCCTCTCGGACTGTTGTATTTCCCGCCTATCTGCATGTGATCGGAGCACGGAAGGCGATTCTTTCCTGTTTTAAGGGCAAACTTTGTTATCAGTTAAGTAAATCTCAGCGGTAATTCGATGTTTATTTACGAACATAAACAGTGAACGTTTCACGACGTTGATTTAAGTTAATGATACGGTAACTTATTTTATGGTATCTCTTTGACTAGTGAAAGTAAAGACAGACTGCTTTAATGACGTTCTGGGTACAGCCAGGCTGCAGACTAACTGAAAGTGTAAGTTCTGGGATTACTTGAACTTATTATTAAATGTTTTGTGAAAAAGGGTATCAGAAATTTGAGATTAATAATCCGTGTTACTCGTCGTAGGAAGTCCATCTTGGGAAAGTCACATTTGCCTCTCTGGTTATGAAATTCCCCGCTGTTTTTGTGGAATTGGAAGGTTCACTGCCGTGTTCAAAAACGCCCGTCAAAGGTCCCTACT